AAAGATATTATATAGGCATATGTCGAGGGGAGTTTCACCCTCTTAACCAATGAGGATATGAATGACATACACATATAGGATCTTTGGCCAAGAACATGTGTTTATATAAAATGGCCACATGTACAGAAAAACATGGACATATTAGGAATAGACTTTTGGAAGAATGCTGAACTGTCTTCAGAGTTCCTCACAAACTCCTTTACCCTTGTAGTCCTAGCATTCATGTCCTTATTTGGGCATTTAAACCAAGAAAAGCTAATGTATACATTTGCGCATGCATACCTCGCATATGAGTAAGAGACATTTAAAACATAATACAAGAGAGAGAAAAGGATACAGGAGGGGGGATTCAGAGAGAGAATGCTGTATAGGGAACGAGTGAGAGAAGGAGAGAAGAAAAGGAGGGGTGAGGCATATCTGGAACCATTTCTTAAAAAACAGAGAGTGTTTTCTAACAAGGACGTTGCATGAAAACCTTTGAACAGAATGGAGATGTGTACATTTTTCAAATTTTACCTAAATATCATATTTTTTCATTTAGTACTGCACTTCAGAGGCTACAAAAGATAGTTACATGTTTCTCAGAAGACAAAATAAGTTACATTTACCCTGATCTTCAAATTCAAAAAAATTTCACACACACCCACCCACACACACATTATCCTAAATAAAATTTACAAATAAAATACATTTTACATTTACATTGAAAAGTTATTTGAAATGGCAGTGAAGAAATATAAGTAAAAATGTAAATATTTTTTGGCTATATATATATATGGAAATGACAATGAATTAATGTGAATATAGAGAAACAGTAGAGATATTTATTAGAAAAATTCCTAAACTCATCACACTCATTAAACTCAATTCTCAAAGTCATTAAACATAGCCACACCTGTTTTTAGTGTAGTGCTGAGTTTGATGTATAAAACTGATTTGTCTCAAAGATTAACGGTTACAGTGCATACTGTAAATAACTCAACACAACTGATGGCAAGGCAAAAAATTAAGCAAAAAATGATGCATCAAAATTTCAACATTGTGAGATAATCATGAGGCTATATAATTGTAAGAGTTTGATACTGAAATGTTCTCATTGGTCTCTTTTTTAATCTCCTCTCGTCTATTTCTTTGTTTGATTCTCCATTGTCTCCTTTTGTTTGCGTTGCTCCCGCTTTGACAGATCTACAATTGCTTTTACTACTCCTTTTTCTTTTTTCCTCAGGTATCTCTCCCTGTCTCTTTTAAGTCTCTCTTCATATTTTATAGGGCCAGCTTTTATTTTGTCCCTATAGGCCTGTGACCTTTCTTTTGTTGTCTT